GAAAGCAGTTAACCCGAAACTCCATCCCAAGAAATGCCACTTGTTCCAGAAAGAGGTGCTTTACTTAGGTCAACATTGTAAGTGAGCATGGTGTGCAAACTGATCCTGACAAGGTGAAAGCAGTGCATGATTGGACAAAACCAGACAATGTGAGAGAGTTAAAAAGTTTCTTGGGACTCTGTACCTATTATCGGAAGTTTGTGAAGGACTTTGCAACTATAGCTGCTCCACTACATGATTTGACGAAAAAAAGCCAGAAGTTCGAATGGACAGTTTCTTGCCAGCATGCCTTCAAGACATTGAAAGAAAAATTGGCCTTATCTCCACTTTTATAGGTTCCAAATCCCTCACTGCCGTACATACGAACAGAGACGTAACAGTATGATAGGGCTAGTGGTAATAAACACACGATGAGCATCAATAGTAATATATGATAGGACTAGTGATAAAAAAACACACGATGAACATCAATAGGAATTTATGATAAAACTAGTGTTAATAAACACACTATAAACATCAGTAGTAATATATGATAGGACTAGTGTTAATGAAAACACGATGAATATGTATAGTGTTATAGGAAAGGACTGTTGTAAAAAACAAATAATGAACATCAATAGTAATATATGATAGGACTAGTGTTAATAAACACATGACGAACATAACATCATATTTTGGGACAACATGGGACCTATTCGTCCATCTCGGCTGTTCCATCCTCAAAATTAAATTAAAATGATCAAAAAAAGTAAAATATAATTTTTTTAAACTCAGCCCTTTTCATTCATATTGTTGCTTCAGCGAGTCACGTGACTGGTGTGGCGCCACCTATTTTCTAGAACTATCCTGTACCTTGGCGAATGCTCTAGTATTAACCTCCCTGTTAGAAAAATAAAACTGTCTTAGCTGAAGATGACTTCTACCTTGCCAAAATTTATATTTGTATCTCCTAGTCCTACTATTCTCACTGTTAGATACGAAAAAATATTATACATCAACACTATCAATTACCATTACAATCTTAAACACCTCAAAGAGAAAACAATTTGAGAGATTTCAGCCTCTCATCGTATGACAACCTCTCTATCCCAGACACCATTCTAGTAACCCTTCTCTGAACCCTTTCCAACAATTCAATGTCCTTCCTAAGGTAAGGAGCTCAAGACTGAACACAGTATTCCAAATGTGGCCTAACTAGTAACCTGTACAATGAAAGTATAACCTCCTTAAACTTGTATTTAATATTTCTGTAGATATTAAACCTAAAATCCTATTTACCTTACCACTAGCAACAGCACACTGCTTGGATGGCTTTAGAGACTGTTCAGCTACTACACCAAGATCCCCTTCCTTCATAACACTATTAAGGTTATTCCCATCCAAATTATACTTATAATTCAAATTATTATAACCCACATGCATTATCTTGCATTTATTATGATTAAAATCCATCTGCCATTTATTTGCCCAACTCACTAAATGATTTAGATCCTTTTGTAAATCAGCAGCATCCTCTTCACAGCTAGCAACACCCAAGACCTTAATATCATCTGCATGTTTAAGTAATTTATTGACTATACCTTCATCTATGACTGAGCTCTGAGGTACTCCACTTGTGACATTAATCCAGTTTGACTAAACTCCATTTGTAAGAACCCTCTGCTTTCATCCATCCAGCCACTCTTCTATCCAATTTGCTAACTTATCCCCCACACCTATAGAGCCATTTTTTTACAAGCCTTTTATGTGGCACCTTGTCAAATGTTTTCTGAAAATCCAGGTACACCAAATCTACATCCTTACCCTCATCTACATAAGCAGTAACCTTTTCAAAGAATGTTATAAGATTTGTAAGGCAAGATTTTCCTTTAGTGAAACCATATTGACTATCCAATAAAATTCTAAACTTTGTTAAATGACTTTGCAAAGTATCTTTTAACAGACTTTCCAAAACTTTTACCACAACTGATGTAAGACTAATGGGTCTATAATTACTGGGACTATGTTAGATAACCCTATTCTAGCAGATTTATATGATGTAAGGGAGAATGGGTGTTAATTATCACTAAACACAGTGTTTTCAACATTTTACAAATAGAATATACATTTTTTAAAGTAAAAAATGAAAAGAAACAGGTTGAGGTTATCTATATAAATAATGAATGTGGATTGTAGAAATTTTATACTTTTAGATTGAAGATATTTATAATTATAATATATATATATATGAATTTTGGATTGTAGGAATTTTATATTTGTGTTTTGGTTCTTCAACAGACATGTGTAACATTATATCAAATAACTATAATGATTTATCTTAATGAAGACCGATCAAGATAATAAAGTTGTAACGTTCATGACAAACCTTAAAATTACCAGCTGTGTGTTTGTACTAAAAAATATCATACATTAAAAAATAGTGTTGATAATCTTTGATTGATTGTTTAGTTAGACTGGTAGATTATTCATCACGATTATACTGAAATGGACGGCAACTGCCTGTTGTAAAATCACAAGTGTAGAGGCGATATTTCAAAAGACTTCAGTCCTTCATCTTCAAGATGAAGGGCTTTTGAAATATCGTCCTCTACACTTGTGATTTTTACAACAGACAGTTGCCGTCCATTCCAGTATTACTCATCAATGGTGTTGATTATTCTTGAACTATATTTGTTCATAACAATTGTTTTTTCCAACTTGTTAAAAAATATTTAGTTCAATGCAACAACTAAAATATATTTAATTTAATTCTGAATAGATTGTTTCTTATACACTGCCTCTATTCTCAGGATCACAAACTCTTCACCACTGGCAGAGACTGGCCACCCCTCACCTAGGAGGGATCTTTGAGACAAGACCAGGGATACAGATAAAAGGAGAAGTTCACCTACCTGAACTAGAACCAGATACTTTCACATTAAGTGATTTGGAAGAGGATGAAGGTTAGGTTCGAGAGTTCATGTTAACTGATTCACCACAAACAAAAAAAAAATTTACATTAAACATTTATGTACGAGGATTTTAATTTTCTCAGGACTAAAACGTATCTGATTGGCTGATCTATAAAATAATGCATAAAATCGTTATTAAACTTTGAACCACTCACAGGTTATTAATCTATGAATGCGTAAGTCTGAATTTGGCAAAGCATTTTTGTGTTGTGTAAATATTTAGGTTGGGATCATAAATCCTAATATGAAGGTTGTGGCATCTCTTAAATTGTTAAGTGTCATTTTATGAATTTTCTGTAAGTCATGCAAATAGTATATTTCTGTTATATCACAATTTTTAAAAAACTAAACTACAATATTGCTATTTATTTTGACTGAATTTATTAAATAGTTGTCATTCGTTTATTTTAAAATTAGATAATTACCTTAAATGTCAATACATTGTTAATTCATGATCAAATGTTACACAGTCACAAAATAAAAAAGCAAAAACCAAAGAGCCGTCAAAAAGTCTACCTTCTGAATATGCTGTGGTCATTTGTTTCTTATTTTGTATGTATTTTAAACTGGAAATATTTATATGTTTCTAGCTTGCTGTCAGTCAGGAAAGAATTTTGTACAAACTTCAACCACATATACTTATACGAATTCAACTGTTATACATCCACTGAATCAGAACCAGATCTTGTCCAGGTAAAAGTTTTATAATCTCTTCCAGTATGTTTCTTCATTCAGAAATCTCTATAGTACTGAACAGAACATTGTTTTTAGTAATGGATATTAATTTGTAATCATATAATTTCTGCATAATCTTTAATATTCTTTCCCTACTTGTGCATAAAATTATTATTATTAATTTGTAACCAAAGCGTTTCTGCAAAAAATTAAATATATTTTTTCTGTACTTGTACACAAATTATGGTGTTAGTGAATGAAATTTCATTTCATATTAACTAAAGCCAAGTGGGTCTGTACACAAAATATGGTTATAATGGTTTCTATTATTGGGTTATTATTCTATTATTCTATTCTTTTGAATTATTTGGTAAAAAAATGTAAAATACAGTCCACTTAATGATGACAAAAGTGTTTTATTTTTTAACTTAAATTTCTACAAGTTACCTTAACTAATGTTTGTTGATACTGTGAAAGGCTCAGCTTCACGGTAGATGTTAATACAGTAATTTCACTTATCTGCTAATTTCTCTCGTATATCTCTTCTTCTTCATCTAAACACAAACTGAATATTCACAAAACTGAAATAATGAAACTAATGTTTGTTGATACTGTGAAAGGCTCAGCTTCACGGTAGATGTTAATACAGTAATTTCACTTATCTGCTAACTTCTCTTGTATATCTCTTCTTCTTCATCTAAACACAAACTGAAATAATGGACAAACTAACAAACTGTAACTAAATGATAATATGTTTTAACAGATTACCAAAAAATATAAAATAGCTATTCTAACTCGCTTTTTTTAAATAGTTCAAATTGTTTCCTACACTTTCAAGATGACAAAACTCCCTCTAGCCAATATTAATACAAACATCTAACTAAAAGTATAATCATTTATCAATAGATGATTTAGACAAAGAATACGAGATGAATGAACAAAGGTGAGATGGTCAGCAACTGCCTAGTTCAGAGTAACACATGTACGGAAAGTTTGGAGGTGAAGAAAAAAAGGCATCTTTCAAAGCATTTTTCTTTCTACTTGAACTACTTTTGTAGATAGTCCTCTAAGACTTTCTCTACAAGTGTCACTCTGAACAAAGTAGTTCCTGACCATTTTGTGTTTCTTTGTTCTTGAAAGAACAAATCATGTCCTAAAATGATATTTTATTGAAGTATTCTATAATATGTTACAGTACTTTACTAATTGTAAGTCCATGATATTTAGTAAATTTTAATATTGTATATCTTAGAGGCTTCTCTGCGGTGATTTACATAGTTAATTAAAATAATAATTTTTATATGTCAATATCTTATGAAGGTGTATCAAGGTGTAGAGACTAACAGAAAAGTTATATGGTTTTACTGTTTGTGTGAAATATGATTTTTCAATTTCTTTTCTGTATTTAATTATTTTCTTTCTTGTTTTGTCCTGTCTTTATTACAGAGTATTTGTAAAGTTATACTTTCAAGCCCTTAGAAATGCTGGAAGAGAAGCTAATATCAATCTCAGAAATATCAAACTTCCTTCTTCACATTCTAAATCTTGACTTATATTAGTGACTTATGATTAATATAGAATTAGTACATTAGAATTTTGGGTTTTTTATAACTGCAAGTTTTTGTCATGAAGTTGCATGAACTATCTTTATTAACATAATCTACTTTAAATAGTTTTTGGTATAGTGTGTTATCCACATTTTTAACCAAAAATATTATAATTAATCTATGAATAATTACTCTTTGCTATCTAGGACACTTAGTAATAAATAATGCAGCTTTAGAAATGCATTCAAGATTTTTTTGTCACATTTAAGCTGCACTTCCCAGAATGCTCCTTTCACTGTATCAATCATTCTATTAAATGTTACCAACTTTAATGTAAAGTTTTAAATATTGTCTGTTAACAGATCAAAAACAAACCATTTTAGATTAACTGATGGTGTTCTTGAATCTAATGGTGAAACCAGTACATGCTATAAACAGAAAAAAATAATTAATTAAATATACTGAACATGCTTTAATTTAACTTGGAAACTACTTGAATAGTCTTGTGGCTATTTCTGGAAAAGTGGAATCTCTCTGCTAGTTTTTAAATATTTCACTGCTTTAACATTTGCAATATTCTAGTTAATTCAGTTAAATATTATAGCTTATAGAAAGTTATGATTCAATAGCTAATTGTGAGAAATAGCAGCTCATAAAACTCATGTATGGAAGTATTTGAAAAAAAAGGAATTTAACAAAGAAATTTTCCCTACTTTAAGGACACCAGTACAAAAAGAAAAAAGTTTTATTTTCATTTTTTGATTCTAAATTTCTCAAATATTCTGACTTTACTTTGTTAGATTAAAAGATATTTGCTGATTTTTATCTACCAAGCATGAATAAAACTTGCTAATTTTTTTTTACTCATGTATTTTGGCTGAACAGTTGCACTGCAGTAACAGATTAATATAAACCTGTTTTGTACTTACATAGAGGCAAATAACTGTTTGGGAATCTCCATGTTTGCATGAGTAACTACAATGTGAGATTTTATAATTATTGATAAAATAAATAAATAAACGAATGAAAAAACATTGGAGGAGACGGTATCATGAATCTGAAGCTTAGCTATTATTAGGGTAAGTCAACATAAGCAATTTGAACATAGAATATTCAGTACCTTGTTCAGGCTATATTCTATTTATTATTATAGAAGGGCATGGTACATAAGAACAAAGTTAAAATGAAACTAAAAACAATAAGTGCTTAAGAAGTTAATTCTGTGGACAAGAGTTATTTTCCTTAGTTTTTTTCATTTGACTTTGTTTCCTAACAGTAGACTTAATAATTTTTAATGTGTGCTTTCTAATACCTCATTATTAAAGAACCAACATTGTGCCATTTCGGTATATATTTACAGTGGCTGGAAAGTCAAGTGGAATTATTCTGAAAGAAATGCAAAATTTTAAACTATTCCTATTGATCGTCTTGAAGATTATACACAAATCTGTTACAGTACTTAGGTTATAGTTCTGTTTGTCCGTTTGATCAACTTCTTTTTAAACTTCTAAAAGATAAGGTTAATTGTGGAGAATGTGCTGAAATATTTATTATTTGAAGTCTTACTTGTATAAATGCCGAGGATACTATATCTAAATCTACTTGATTTTAACACGTTCGCTGCCAGGTGCTCCACTGGTGGGTCACAAATGACTTTTAGTTATGGACTACATAACACACTGGTGGGTCACGGACAATTATGTTTCAAAGCCAAATTTCTTTTATTTCCTAAAAGCTTACAGGGACAAAAAAGGAGCTTATTAGCCCATCAAGAATGTCCCTTCCAGCTCCCAACTATAACTATCTCTTACTACCCATGTATTCATCCAATCTTTTCTTGAACTCAGTTAAATTTTCTTCCTCCACCACCCTTGAAGGCAGCTAATTCCAAAAGCCAACCACCCTGTTTGAAAAGTAATACTGTCTAAACTGCAGACGACTCCTACGCTGCCAAAATTTGACTTTATGACCCCTTGTCCTATTGTTTTCACTGGTAAACACAATATGAGTTTGGGACACTGTGACTGCTTCTTGGTATCTCTTGAATGTTTAATTATTTTTATACTTAATTTATTATGCAGCAGCGATCACGTTAATACAAATAATATTGTCCAAAGCTGTAAAGAAAAGAAAATCTGTTTGACTTCATTTAGGGTAAGTGCTTGGTTTGTCAAACTTTCTACCAAAAGTTTTCACTTCATCTTTTCAAACAACTTTTCTTCTTTCAGATTTAGATCATGTTGAATTTCTTTGGTAATTAGGTTTTATTTTATTTTCTATCTAGCTTACCAACAACTCAAGAGGTTGCGAGTAAGGTGCTGGGGTCATTGGAAGTCGATCCGTTATCTCATGTTGAAACTGAGAATCTTTCAAGCTTGACTAAGAGCAAGACAGCATCTGATTTAAATAAGCTACTACAAGATCAGAAAATTTATGCTATTCTCCCTTCTCTGGACTCACCCATACCTAGAGAAGTGAGCACTAATTTCACCTTACCTAGTTTTTTCATGTATAACAGTATAGAACACAATAGCTTAATATACAATAAGAAACTTCCATATATGTAACAACACAATTGGCTTCTATGTATCAATTGACATTATTATCTATACACATGAATTAAAGACAAAATATTCAATATAATTTTTAATAACAACGCAGAAATCAGGATCATAGGCAGAAACCTATGAAGAGAAGGGTGCTACTTTTGGAGTGAATTAGAAGTGAGAGGTAAAGCGTTACTGGAGGTGGGGGCATGTCTTCTTTAAAAATTTGGAATCTTCACTGAAAATTGTGCCTTTTGATATTGAGGCTGTTTTACACAATTTAGATATATTGTGTTCACATATGAGGGTAATTTAGATGGTGGCAGCTTTGTTGAAAGTAATAACCAGCATAATGCAGAGGATGCATTTTCACTCTCCCACCCTGTTTATTTATTGAATGAAAGCGGAATGGTAATGTGTAAGTTCCTTTTTCTTCTGTATGAAATAATAGGCCAAATTACTATTTTTTATAATCAAGGCATGAATTATAATACAGATATATTTTTTTCAAGCAGACAACTAAGTAATAAAATAGAGTGATATTTAAAGTTTTAGTTCAGGATCAATTTCCCATAGTGTGAGAATTGTGACATTTGCTCTCTAAGCATCCCCTCTTCTCTAATGTATTTACCACCCCTCTAAGAAGTATGAAGTTAGTTGAGGAAGTATTGGCAGCACAATTGTAATAATTAAGACTAGATTATTCACTACTTGTATGTTAACATAAGAGAAAGCACTTAGGGAATATGAACTTAGATATGTCTCAGTTTTCTCTAACATACATTCTGGGGGGGTCACAGTTGTATTTCCTCTCCTTTTTTTGTTTTTGGATAATCAAATAGTAGTTCTAATTTCAGCATTTAAGTGCTCATTCCTGTGCGACATTAAAGTTTGTTAATTATTACAAATAATTATATAGTTATGCATACACCTGATACAAAGCTTAAAATGACTGAAAGTATACATATACTGATATAGGAGAATCAGATCAGAGTTGATCAGTTCCTTCTTTTAGGCCTTTCACAATAATATATAAAACTGACGTAAGGTAATAAAGAATTCAAATATAAAAATAACTAAAAGAGCACTTAATTACCTGATTATATAGTGTATTGCCTGGGTATAATTGCCATGATTTTGTTGTATTATGGAAAAATAAATCACCTATGAAAACCTTACACCAAAGACTTAGAACACAGGAAGTAGTGAGGTTTTGCATGATTTTATTATTTTTTAATACCTTATGCTATTAGATTGGCATTTCCAAATAGTTATCACCCCCCCCCCAAAAAAAAGTGTATTCTATACTAGCTGGAGTACCCATCCCCTAGACGGAAATTATGTAAATTCGTGGTTTATTAAAGGTTATCTTAGGACAGGAAAAGTTGCTTCTCTTATATGTAATTGTAAAAAAAGTGCCCATAAAAACTACAAAACACAAAATTTCAAACCGCAAGTTCGCAAGTATCTCCCCATGAACCCAACAAATCTTCATGTTAAATTTGGTGAAGATCTATCAACAGGGGGTGAAGTAGTGGTAAAAACACACGTAAAAACACCCATAAAAACTGCAAAATGCAAAACTGAATTTTTTTATGTATCTCCCCATTGGCCAAATGAACCTCCAGACCAAATTTGGTGAACGTCCATTCACACCATGTGAAGTAGTTACATGGACATACAACAGATAGTACTATTATATTTATATAAATATCTGATAAGATAATACATTTAGTATTTACTGTTTTTTTTTTTGTCAATAAACCATTTATAGGTTTCAATTTAAGCTTTTGTACACTTTAATGAGAGTGTGATATTTCATGATTAACTTATTTGTAAATTTATATATTTATCAGACTTTTTCTAGATATAACTTAGAGATATTCAATAAAGTTCCCAAAACAATGAATCTTCTTTAAACAACGTACATAATATTTATGTCCTTTTCAAAATTGTATATCATGGTACATGGTGTTAAAAGACTATAAAAACTGCCTCACTACCCGGTGTTTGTTTAAAGCTGCCCATCTATTGAAAGATTATCCACAATTTTATCACTAGTGTTTAACAGCTTGCTATTGGATGTTTACTACTGCTATTTTACTGAAATGTTGTAATTCTTAACTAGGTGGCACAACCAGGGATTTCTAATTCATCTGGGACACCAGGTCTTCTGAGACCCGTATTTTTTCCTACCTTTATGATGTACAATACAGGAAAGTACCACTTAAGCACCAACTGGAATTTCACTCGAAGAACCGCCTCTTCTACTACAGTAATACACACAACTGAGACAACAACAACACCAGTTATTAAAAGCACAATATTTCCTGTGTTATCTCCTGTAGACCTGATGGAGCAGGTAAACCTTGTAAGAAGCACAACAAAGCTAAATTGTTCGGCAACCAGTACCAGCGGCATGCCAAGATTCCATATACCACGGTTTCCTGCTCAGCATGGTTTATCCAATGTTTCTGATGACTCGCCTTTAACTCTGACGAACGGGCAGAAACCTGTTGATAACTTTCCTACACGCGTTCCTTCAAACCTGGATAATGAAGATCAAACAAAAGAAGTTAACCACAATCAGCGGGATAAGAAGGAAGCTGTACCCTTTTTTCAACCTTGGGCTGAACTCTCTACTCCAGTTTCTGGAAATACTTATCCTTTTTATGCGAATCGTAACTTGCAGATTCATGATCTGGGTTTTAGATTTTCTCAACTGGTGCCTCACAATATGCTCTGTGCATTGAGAAAAGGTGGTTACTCAGCTGGTAAACAAGCAGTAAGACCAACCAGCATAAATAACAAGTGTTAAAAAACATACAGCCAAAACTATCGAAATAGAAATATGGTAAAAACACGTATGAAAACAAACGTATTATAGAAAAGTTATATAAGCAGTCACGCCATAAAAACTTAAAAACAGAAATATTGTAGATTAAATTAAAACAGGCATATGGTAAAATATTAAGTCAAGCATGTGGTAAGAACTATTAAAATAGGCACATCGCAAAACTATTAAAATAGGCATATGGTAAGAACTTTTAAAACAGGCATATGGTAAGAACTTTTAAAACAGGCATATGGTAAGAACTTTTAAAATAGGCATATGGTAAGAACTATTAAAATAGGCATATGGTAAGAACTATAAAAAAAGGCATATGGTAAGAACTTTTAAAACAGGCATATGGTAAGAACTATTAAAATAGGCATATGGTAAGAACTATTAAAATAGGCATATGGTAAGAACTTTTAAAATAGGCATATGGTAAGAACTATTAAAATAGGCATATGGTAAGAACTATTAAAATAGGCACATCGTAAAAACTTGAATAGAACTTTAATACTTTATCACTTCTCTTGTTCCCCAGTGGCTCAGCGATTTGTCTGAAGACCTATGACGCTAAAACGTGGGTTTCGATACCCGTGGAGGCACAGCACAGATAGCCTGTTGTGTAGCAAAACAAACTATCAAATACATTTAAGCTAGTGCCAAATAAACAACAAACACTCATACGTGCTTCGTGAAAAAAGTGAATGTTATGTGTAATAAATATTGAATCTTGTTAAGACATTAATTTTTACAGCGGAATGTTAAAAAACATTTCCATAAAATATGTGAACTATAACACAGATCCATTAGAGTATTAACCCATAATGTTCCATAGTCAATGACGGATAAAATAAGCAGTATTAAAACATTGGTACACACTTAGAGATTGGTTAATATGGTTTTTTGCCAACTAGCTTGAGTACCCTCCACAAACTTTAGACATTTTTATAAAGTGGCTCGTTGGTAAGTCTGCAGGCTTACGACGCTAGAATTTTAGGTTCGATACCCGTGGTGATCAGAGCAGTGATGTCCCATTATGTAGCTTTGCACTTAATAACAACCAAACATAAAACCATGCGCTATAATGTTGGGTGTGAAATATTAATGCTTATTATTGTGAATTTCGCTTTAAAAGTTTTAAAACTGCAAAGAGCTTTACTCCCTGGTGTCTCAGAAATAAGCTCGATGACTTAGAATGATAAAATTCAGGGTTCAATTCCAGTGGACAACACATATCGTGCTGCCTTGAGCTTAAACTAAACAATAATTTATCCAAGAAATAGTGAACAAATGATACAATGAATGCTTGCTTTTTTATCAAGATGACCCTGGATAACTTGTACGTCATCATTCACCACCTAGATTTTAGAAATTCTGCACATCACTGAATTTCAATTAATATTTTGAACGTCTGACAGTTTTCTAAAGAGTATTTCTTGTATGTGCCAAAACAGTAATTTTTTTATGATTGTTTTGATACTTCATAATATTGGATAGTGTAAGACAAGGGGTAAAATAAGAAATTTTAAACTTTACAAAGAAAGTAGTTAAATTAACAAATACTATTTTATTATACCCAGAGACCCGGATATAGGAGTAGCCAAGTTTTCTAATCCTATTTAAACATGAGACGCATTATTTATTGTGCTCCATATTTTGTATACGTGTATTGCAAGCAATTTAGAGGGGGAATGGAATCTATTTCAAAATGAACCATAAATAAAATATATTTAATAATGTTTAATAATCATAAACAAATAACCGTTGAGTAATTACAGATAAATATTTTTAAGTTAAATTTTCTTTATGCTGCAGTCGGGTAAAGTGACTTGTAATGTAAGAAACCCAGAAAAAAATTATTCTATTTTAATTTCGTGGTAGAGATGGGACAAACCCCTTCTCTCTCTCTCCTTCCGCCAAGCCTATGTTCTCTCACTTGTTTGATGAGGTTATTTTCCTAAGCAGGTGAGAAAAATTAAACTAATTACTTTTTCAATGATAAGATAGTTGGACAGTGTAGAAAATGGCAACAACTATAAATTAATTAGTATTCTTTACTTGTATTTCTGAAAGCACAAAACAGAATTCATTTTGTTTTCTGCCATTAACTACTCTTCTAAATAAATTAGTAATTTATTTTTATCGTATGAGTAGTAGATTTTATGTGTAAACTTTCTTAACCAGTAGCGTACACATACCGCCATAGTAAAATTAGTATTGTACATGGCCGGGAATAAAAAGGGTCGGTTAGTATAATAGTATTAAACATGCAGAGACCCGCAAAACATTTTGCGGTCAAATTAGTATATTTATTGCAACAGTACTTTATAGGATTTATAGAATAATACAAAAGAATCCTAATCGCAGACACCGAAATCTGTAAGTCAAGTTGCCTTAGGCCTAACATTAGTTAAGCCTTTTTTTTCAAGTTTGTCCTATATTCAATAAAAAGATAATACTGTAACTTGTGAACATATTTTTTTTTTTTGCTTTAGTTTAGTTAGGGTTAAACTTTACTGTACTTAATACTATCAATAAATACACTTATAATGTTATTATAAGACCTAACGTTAGAGCTTTTTAAAAACTTTAATAAGTACTTTTAAGTAATGTTAGTACAAAATTGTTTACTAAAGT